TGGACTCAAGTCCCACAATAAAATGGTGACATTTTACGTATACTGGGCACTTTTCCTCGAACAAAAGTTCAAGAAACATGGTCAGACAAAAGATTACGTCCCTCAGAAGTATAAAAAGAAACCCATGTTAGGCAGTTAAGACACCGAAATGTGGAAATTTGCAGGTAATTTTTTTATTTATATATGACTAGTGCTAATTAGGACTTTACAATGAAACTTCTCATTATTAAGGGGGATGCTTAATTACTGAGGTTATAAAGTGCAAGATAATTATTGTAATAACTTTGGTTAGCAAGATAGTTTTAGAGAAAAATCTTGATTTAAGTTGACTAAACTAATTAATGAGTCATTAATATTCATATTACAAGGGTATTCCTTAATGATAGAATCATTGGGATCAATGGATTATGGTATTCTCTGAATTTTCTGTATCATGTATTCCGTTGGGCTATCGAATGACCTGTATCATAATAAAAAAAAAAAAAACTTTTGGGAGAAAAACCCTTCTATACTCCTAAGAATTTATTTAAATTATCACTAGAATTCATTTTTGGTGTGTAATTATCAGTTAAAGCAGCAGGAAAGTAAATTCTGGTAACACAACACTGCACCCATCAAAGAGCTGTCAACGCTCCCCGAGACGAGACAGGAAGCTCCGGCACCGCCTGTTCTGTCCAGACACCGAGACGCCTGGCGCTGCCCCCTTCGCTCACCCAGGCTGCACCCAAGCACGTGCGTGAGTGACGGGGCCCACGGCGGGCAGTGCCGCCCTCGGGGCTGCCCCGGGGCGGCAAGGGTGCTGGTCGGGCTTCCTGGCCGGGGGCCCCGGGACCCGCCGCCAGCCCTGCCCGCCGCCCTCCCACGCCGCCGGGACAGGACCAGCTAAGGCAGCGCCGCGGGCACCCTGGACGCAGGCCGGACAGCGCGCCAGCCTGAGTCTACCTGTCCGACGGCCCAGACCCTCCTGCTCCACGCACCTCGGGTCTCTCACGGGAACTGCTCTTTTCTTGTGTTTTTCATTGTTGAACAGACTATAAAGCCTACGTAAGCCTTGTGCCAGGAACACGGTTTTTCAAAGCAAATTCTTCTCAGGTCGCATGAGGAACATTTATTCTGGTTTGTATCACCCCTAGAATAATATACGTTCTCAAAAAGGAGGGGGTGGGCCAAGTTGAGAAGAATATGTCATTTACATTCAATGCAAGTGATCATCCAAGTCAAAGGAAAATGAAATTTCTAATTTATTGAGTCACTGCTACACACAAAACACAAAACCCACGACTACTTCAAGATTAGAGTTCCGCTTCCTGGGGCGCTTGCTCAGTCACGTGCGCACGCCTTCGGCCACCAAGCTTCATTAACGGTCCAGTGGGGGCAGCGCGCAGTCCCTGCCCTCAGCGCCCCCGGCCCGAGTGCGGCCGCCAGCGCAGCAGGGGCGGGCCCGGGCCACCGGGCGCCCACAGCCCCGGCGGCTCGCGTCACCCGGGGCACCCCGGCGGCTCCGGGGCCACGATGACAGGATCAAACCACGACAGTAACTGCACAACGGCCTCGTTTACTCATTCAAAAACGAATCACAGCAAAAATACTGTTCGTGTTGCCACATGCTTGTTAAACGAGTTCAATAGTATTTATCTACTCCTTTGTTGGTTAATTTTCCATGCCATGATTAAGGGAAACTAAATGTTATAGAAGAAAAGGCTATAGAAAATGTTATTCTTAGAAATTTAGAATAAGGGGATAGCTATACAAAATCTAAAAAACCAGCTTTAAAAAACCATCCTAAATTGGTCAAAGCTTTATGTGACTTCATGCTGTTTGTTTGACATTGGTCAAACTTGAACTAACAAATTCCTGAATCTTAGGCCACTCTACCTAGAAAATGGGATAGGATAGTTCAAAATCAGTTTTCATCACTACGACTAAAATTCAGAATAAAAATCCTACACAAATTAAGTCATTCTCAAATGTCAATAACATCATTGGTAGAAAGACGTTCAAATATAAATACGGCCCCTACTATAACAACCAACTCTTCAGATACGTGGTGTCTAGTATTTCAGTATCGTGGGACGCTGCAGTTTCCGTGAGAACCTCGCAGATCTCCTAACTCACTGTCATCAGGAGAACGAAATCTGCAGGTACTGAGTGTGGAGGGTAGCGAGCCACGGATTCTATCCCACTGAATCCCAAACACCCGGTGAGCTATTATTACCTCCATTTAATAATGGTGGAAACTGAAGCACAAAACAGGGAATAATCCACTCAGAGTCACCTTACTGATACACAGTCCACTTGGGATCTGACCTCAAGTCTGGCACATACAGAACAGCATAGCACATAGCCTGCATGACAAGACAAGCCACAAAAACTCTTACACAAAGCCTGCTTTTAAAGGTTCCAGAAAATAAGATTATTCTTTCAATAAAGTATTTTAACACTGAGACCCCTATCCAAGGGGAAACTCATCACCGCTTATAGCAATGGCACTGCAGTGCCGACATGGGTGACGTCTTTCATCAGGAGTAGAAAACTTCGTAAGATGAGATCACGGAGTGGAAGAACAAACGTGGAGCCTAACATGCTTTTGCTTGAAATCCGGAAGGCAAAGAATTAACTTATTATTTTAGAGCTTAGCTCAAGTTCTCCAAAAAATAATTAAAAATTAGGTAATGTTGTAATTTTGGTATGGATTTCTTAGGCAAACAGATTTTCAAAAAGAGTATATTGAATTTTCTCTGGAAGATGTGAAAACTTGAAACAGACTCTCCTCCCTCGACTGCAATTCCACGCTGACTAAAACTAAGGAGATGTGGCCTCTGTGAGGATGTAGTCAGTGAAATGAATTTATGACACCCCCAGAAAGCAGGATGCCCCACCAGTCCACGCCCTGTCCTACAGCAAGGAATCTGTGTCCTACAGAAAGAGGGGGAAATTCCATTCAATAGACTGCCTTTAACATTTAAAAACCAAAAGACCATATCACTGATGCACACATTTATCTATAATGCTCGCCTCCAAAACTCTAGACGACCGAAGATTGTACTACTGATACACACAACTGTCCACAAAGAAGTGAACCTCAGCCAGCCAGGGCTTTGACGCAATTACTACGAAAGTAGTAAATAAGAATTCAAAACGGCCCATAACTGAGTCCCAGGGTGGCCTGGGATGGGCATGTGTTACCATTACAGGGGAGAGGGGTACCTTTCTTTTTCCATGTTCTCTATTGGCCATCAACTAAGAACACACGTATCACTGAAAAAGCTGAAGTTTCTTATCACAGAGAAAAATTAAAATGAATGGTATAAAAGAACTCAAACAAATCAAAATGAAAATCCGAATGCTGAACTGTTACACTGTCTTTTATTTCCATGATAAAATAGATACAATTTAAATACCAAAATATAATATAAACACTAAAATGAGTTTTAAGACAGGCAATGAAAAATAACCATGTGCTTTGGATGAATGGACCAGATAACCTGTTAAATATAATTTTAGCACTAAGAGTTTATAATAGCTACTCATACAGATATAAATTATTGTGGATGATTTTAGTTATAACATTTCAAACTGCATCATCTTTCTAATTTTTCTTTCTCAAAGCAAAATATTCCATTTCAGATTAAAGTAATTATGGACCTAAGATTAATGCATAAGGAATATTTAAATCACACATGGAGTTTTCTACTGGCTGCTTCACCTCCAGCTTCTTTTCACAGCACTTACTAGGTTGTTAATTACTGATCACGACGTGTACTGGGTCGTTCAGATGATAAAGACACAATACTTTTAGTTTAAATCCAGGACTGGAATTTAAAGTCTTTGTTTCTCCAACAGGCTGACCTGCCTCCCTGTGAAATCACTTAAGATCTCATCACAGCGGGGCCTGACTCAGGATCCCACTCCACCCTAACAGAGCAGCTTCCTGCCACACTGACCTGAAAGAGAGCGCCACCCACGGGCGGGAACGGAACTGTGTCAATGTGCAAGTCACACTTATAGCCACATGCTCACTTTGCATAAGGACAGCCCCAACCCAGGGACAATATTAATAGGAATCATAAAATAGAAATTTGTTAATAGCTAATTTAAATAAACATAAGAAAATCATGTTACATTTCAATGTACTTAACATATTCCCACCTTTGCTTCACTCACTAGTTTTTTCATCAATTCAAACGTGAAAGATTTCATGCATATGTGTACATACTAATGAAGCATTCCTATATTGACTTTGAGGTAAAAATCAATGATCACCTATCAAACTTTTCCTTTCAATTCTCTAACTATAGCAATGTACACAAAGTAGCTGTTAAAATTCACATTTAACTTCTTACATATATGATTCTAAGATATAAGATTAAATGAGAATTAGAAGTATGAGATCTTTAACAAAAAAGAGGTAAGCTACAAAAATTGAAATCAACCTAATTAGAAGAAATTTAATTTTTTTACAGACATGGATACGCTACTGGTTAGATTCGGGCTCTCAAACATGAACTATATACAAAGAAAAGTGAGTATCAATTAATGCTGTGCTAGTCTTATGATAATAGCATTACAAAAATAATACCAGTATTTAAGATTCAAATTATATAACTATTATTAAATTTTACTCTTCAGAATAAACTTTACCCTACTAATTTTATTTAACCTGACAGAATTTCATGGACAATCCAAACCACGAGCATTTGCACAGGACAAGGCTGGGACTAACATTTTTCTTCTACTGCACATTCTAATCACGTGCTACATCTGTTAAGAATTTTTTATTTATTATGAAGGCAGTCACTCCTTTATGGTTCTAAGAATCCCAACGTCAGGTTATTTTTATATTATATAAATATGTATCTACCTTTCCCCAAAAGTAACTTCTATTACAACTTCAAAAATAAAAGCCCAAAATTATAATACATTTATACAACACCAAGTGTACCAGGTGTGATCAAAGTATGTAAAAACTGTAAGAAATTACACATTCAAAGAAAACTTACCAGACAGTTGTTTCTACTTGACTGTCATTGAGCTGCCGATTGTCCAGTTGGGCAAAAAGTGGGAAAAGAACTTGAATCCCTCCAATTGAATGAATTGCACTATGAATTGAATGTGTTACTATAGCTTTCACATCCTATATTTAAAAAACAAAAATGTTCATTACATTTCTGAAACATAATATTATCATCACTATTTCCTGTTCTATATAACTTTGTAAAGAAATCAAATAACAGTAGTTAGACATTTTAAAAATCTACAATTATAGTTTTTGATATACATGTAAAATAAAAATTTGAAATCTTAAGAGATTTTTACACTGAAAATATAAGCTATAAATCAAGAAATATTTTATAGGAAGAAATACTATTAATGGGCTTAAAGATACTCAAGTAATTTTATGTTAGTGAGACATATATTACTGTTCTTAAACCAAAGCATATTTTTATACTACCAGCTACCTGTCCAGCTAATTAACTGCTTTTATTTCAAACGCTATAGAACATGTATCAGAAATGACAGATATCCCACTACAGAAAAGAGTCCCAGGTAAAGCATAGTACCCAAAAAATGAGAGAAGGCAAAGAAGTCATTCAGAGAACTAGAAAACAATGAAGAAAAACAAGCAGCTGCAGATTTGGAGATGAGCAATGTTGCATGTGCGAAGGACAGGTGCTGTGAATGAGGACAGGAACATGGACCGTAAGGGAGGGCCCCCACCTGGAGCATGAGGGCGTGCGGGGAGTGCACAAAAATGGACGCGTTCTCCTTGGGCGAGGACTCCAGGCAGAGCTGCGCGTCCGTGGCCTTGGCGTTGTACGTGAACGCAATGCTACTGGCAAGTTTTCCGTCGTACAGAACCTGCTTATGATGCTCGGCCAAATGAATATCACTCTCAGATTTAAACTTGAAGGTGCTCTGGAAAAGTAAAATTAAGTTAGACTCTCACTTTAAAGGTAACACACTACAACTCTGAATTTTTAAAGAAGAGATGCATTTAAGATAAAAACTTGTTGTAACCCTCCCAGGCATTAATTGGTGGTATTACAGTATTTAGTTATTCTCACTCGGTTCTATGAGAGTTAAATTGTATTATGCTAATAAACACACAGAGCTTTATTTTCTCATTTTTATTACTTTTGAGTGTTTATACAATGATTTTATTAGGAAAAAAATGTAAGGTTAGATGATATGAAATGTAAAACAAATTTTACTTTAATACTCCTTAACATAAATTTTCTTTTTAATACTTTCAAAACTACACACACCCAAACACAGTGCCTGGCAAAATAAAAAACTAACACTATGAGAAATGTTTTTATGCAAAAGTAATTCTCTACTATAAAAAGTACATCAACATACTGAATACCAATGCTACTCCACAAAAGCATCACGACAGCCATGTTAACCCAAAACAAGAAGTTCATTAAGCATGTTACCATTTTAAATAAAAGAATAAAAATAGACCAGCTGTAACGAGAACGGCATGGCCAGAAATGGCTAGGATCTGCCCGCCGACGCGAACCTCGCAAGGACAGGACGTTTAGCCCTGGCAACACTCACACGCCATCAGCATCACTACCTTCAACGGCGCCGATGCAGACCCAGAGCCCGAGGCCCGAAGCGCCCGAGGGACAGGGCCAGGACGGCAGCCAGGCCTCCGGTCGCAGGGCCAGTGTCAACGGGTGACCGTGCGGTGCGCTGGATCGTAAGCCCGACTCCGCTGCTGACCATCTCCTGACCCGTATTTACGACTCAAAAACAGCCTAACTGAAACAGCTCCAGGTTCCTCACTCTGATGTTGTAAGGAGACCAAACCAAATGTTCCAAACTCAAGCCGCGACAGGGAGCAGGCAGGCAGAAGCGCGGGTGAAGGGGGCAGGGACTTTCTTCACCCCGGGCGCACGCGTCCTGCCCGAGGCTGGCCCTACGCCTCCGCTCGCGTCAGTCACTCTCCCATGTTGCCTGTTCTCCCAGATTTTCAAGAGAAGCGTAACGCCTGAGTTTTTATATAAAGTCACTTAGTCTGTGAATTCACCCAAACATTCTAACACGCCATGCAGACCAAGCACGCCAGGCCCAAGGCAAACAGTACCCTCCCCGCGGGCCAGCAGCCAGCGCGCCTTCCCAGCTCGAACGGGCCGCAAAGCGCTGCCTGCAGGCCCGCGCCCCGCCAGGCGAGGGCAGTGTGGGCGGCCCAAGCGTGTGCGCCTGCGGCTCCGCGGGCGCTCCGAACCGTCCGCCAGCTGCCGCAGTTCCTTACTGCGCACGAGCTAACAAGATGGCCGCTCTTCGCACCGGACGTTTCGTTCTCCCCTCCCCTAAAATGCACAACGTTCTCGCCCCTCAAAATTTCAAACTTTAATCTTTTTTAACTCACTGATTCACACACTTCCCATGCTAGAGGTTAACAATTGAGTTTACTACAATAAATACATGTTCCGCTTTAAAATATTCTATTTCAGCCCCTCACACACTAAAGAAGAGGTGATAATCACAACAATAACAAATCCTGTGTGACAAGGGTAATTTAAGCCTCATTCGGATTTGAACAAGCCCCGCTCACCGCCACGCCCCACACAGCCGCACGACCGCCACAACCCTGCTCCTCTGCGCCCCCCACAGGCCCGGGCGCCCCCTCCCCCGGGGACCGAGCGCAGAGCGCGCGCCACCGCCGCCTTCCTGCCAGTCCCGCCACCACGGCCGGACCTGCTGCGCTCCCTTCCTCCTTCCCTTCACTCTCCCAATTTCTAGGAAAAAAACTTTAATTTCAAAACTTTCTGCAGATCTTTCCTGATAGTGACCGTACTGCTGGCCTTTACGAGCTGGGAAAACACACAGGCACCACGCTGCGCTCCAGGCTCGGCCTCTGCAGTTGCCTGGTCGGGTCTTTTTCCTTAGAGAGGGGGCGGGCGGGAGAGACAGCGCCGGGCGAGGACGTGGGAGCGCAACGCCAGTCGCTGCCCTTCACACGAGCCGCGGCCGGGGGCCGGCCGGCAGCCCAGGCCTGCGCCGGGCCGGGCATCAGCCCGCGACCTTCCGCTTTGCAGGGCGCTGCCCAGCCCACGGAGCCGCGCCGGCCAGGGCTGCTCGCTCGATCTTCTAGCTTCACGGATGTTTCGGGCGGGAGAGGCGCGGGCCGGGCCCCGCCGGGCCCCGCCCGCCGGCGGCGGGTCTCGGGCTCACGCCGGGCCGAGGGGCCGCTGGACACACGAGCACCTCCGCGAGCGCACACACACTTCTAGGGGCAGCGCAGCAGAGGGCGCGATGCGGCAGGGATGGTGGCGGGTACTACCGCCCCGACATACAAAGGACGGCATTACTGTCATTCAGCTTGTGCCTGTTCTAATCACTGAAACAGCAATGTATTTTCAGAGCGTAAACTCCAACTGTCACTTATATGTCCAACATGGAACATAAAAATATAAACAAATACTAAAGCAAAAATATGGAGACAAAGGATTTTTAATGTTAGTTCACACTAATTATCTAAACATTAGCTTAAAAAAACCCAGCTCTTCCATGAGTGACGTATTTCTTCAGAATTATAAACACTTTCGCATGCACCGTATAATTCTCTTTCAACTCCAAACAGTTGAGGATTTCACTATTCCCAGTGTGATTTTAATAAAATTCTTACGTATTTCCCTAGCCAGGTGTTCTGCACATTAAAAAATAATTCATATATATGAATGCAATACCTCACCTAAATAAGTCCTCATTTTAAAAATTAAAAAACAGGAAGCATATGATAAATCGTATTAAATAATTGGTTTTGCAAAATTAGGATTCTCACTCTGTACCCACTGTCTTGCCTATTGAAAAGGACAAGCAGAAGCAGAGGCTAAAACAGTAATTCTGGGCACGTGTAATATTTTATACCATTTTCCTTCTAAATCTTTATTCCACACTACCTCAAATTTGGAAAAAAAAGGTCATTTCACTTGTTCATTATTTTATGTATTTCAGAGTTTGAGATTTCAAATACCACATTAAGCATTATGGTTTTATAAAATTTAATACTTCGAAATCATATCAAGAAAAGCCATGGCTTCAATATTAGAAAACATTAAATAAAAATAGTTCATGAAAGCTAAATGTTAAAAAAAAAAAAAAGGCTTTGAAACAAAATAAACATTAATTAGAGTTGAGTTCCAAAAAAGAGAAAAGAATTCTACACCACATTGAGGACTATCACTTTATATTATATCACTGTTCACACAGAACTTATATAAAACTTTCCAGAGAATCTGTCTCACGACGGCTCCTCCCACCTTGTAGCCAGGCCCGAGCTGGTGAACCGCGAATATCTGGGCAGGGTTGAGGGCTTCGCTGAACACATACACGGCGCCGAGCTGGCCGCAGAAGACCCTGTTTGCATCGGCAGTTTCGGAAGATCCAAGAAAGCACTTGTCGTAGCTCTATGTTGAAAAAGTCACAAAAAATAAAATGTATTATTTTGTAATGACAAAATATTTAAGGATGCCTTCCTTCACTATCATAATAATCACAGAGGAAAGCATCAATTAAGACTTCATGGAGTATTTAAGTAATAAAAACCAGCCAAAGATTTTTTGGAAAAACAAATCAGTTAAATGTTTTATACATATGGGCAAGCTAAACGATAACCATTTAGTCAATAATCACTCAACCACTTTACAAATTTTATAGGTAAAGGCAAAAGGGCTTACAGTTATTTACTGATAACAGTAAAACTAAGTTTCAAACTCCAGTGAATTATAATTATCATATACAGAGAGATTCATCTGATTCAGAGAATAACTAGTCCAACTGTAACCATAAATACACAAGGCACAATTTTCTAAGTGCAGCCTCGTCTCTCCACCACTGATTTGTTCCTCTGTCTCTGCACACAGGGGAAGCCACCTCCGGCGCTCACGGGGACGCGGCACCCAGCAGAGTCCACACAGGAGGCCCCACGTCCGAGGCCTGCCGCAGGTGGCACAGGGCTCTTGGTCTGGAGAGCCGGGCACCTAGGACGCCACACCTGCCGAGGCCCTTCCCGCTGCTACTCCAAACTCCACTGACTGCTGGGCCCCCCACCCCAGACCAGGGAAAGCTACTGTCGCTGCTTCCTTCCCCCACCCTCACAGCTTATTCCACACGTGTGAGCGAGGCAGGAAGACAGAAACCCCTCATTCATCCTCCATCCCTGTTAGAAGGGTAAGAACTTAAGAACTGGCTTCATAATGGACATGGACAACAGTGTGGTGATTGCTGGGAGGACCAAGGCATAAGGGGCCTAAACTCCCCAAATATCCACATTTGTTCCTTCAACTCTGATAACATCGTTTCTGTACCATCTGGCTCCTCCCTTCCCTACACTGACACTTCTTAAACCTATTCCCACTTAATTTTTATCTATAGCATTTGTCACCGTTTATCTAATAGTAATGACTATGTGTTCTATTGGGGTGGCCAAAAAGTTCATTTGATTTTTTTCATAAAATGGCTCTAGTAGCTCTTAGTTGTCTTTAACTTTATTCAAAACAATTTTGTTAGATGGTATTGTGATAGCTGTCATATCAGCATGCATTTGAAAAAAACTCATCAAAACTGATGAATTTTTGTGTAGCCATTTTAATAATGAAGATGGAAGAAAATATACAACATTTTTGGCATATTATGCTTCATTATTTCAAGAAAGGTAAAAACACAACTGAAACTTAAAGATTTGTGCAGTGTATGGAGAAGGTGCTGCAACTGATCTAACATGTCAAAAGTGGTTTGCAAAATTTTGTGCTGGAGATTTCTCCCTGGATGATGCTCCACGGTCGGGTAGAAGTTGACAGCGATCAAATCGAGACATTTCATTGAGAACAATCATCGTTCTACCACACAGGAGACAGCCAACATACTCAAAATATCCAAATCAATAAAGGTATTGGTAAAAATGAAAAGTGTGTCTTTTATTTTATGGAAAAAACATACAACCTTTTTGGCCAACCCAGTATTTATTCGTTCTGTTTAAGGTCTTTCTTCCTTTCAGATCCAAATAAGGTAAAAGACACAATTTTTAATGCCTGAGATTCTGGAAAGAATACAATACTGCCTAGATGTTTTTGACTCTAATAAATTAGTCCAGGAATTTTCCTTTTTTGTACCACTAATCAGGTCTGGTAGCAATTATATTAAATTCAAGACTCAAACATTCAATTAATAGAAAAAATTTTCAAAGTACAACTGTTAGGTTTCTAACAAACTATTTTATTATTCATGTTGTAAACAGTGCTATATCATATGCTTAGATACATTAAAACACAAATCTTTAAATAAAACTTACATCGTTCGTGTTAACATGCCAAGCCATATCACCATAGGATACCAGCTGTCCGTTAACGTAACACCGAATTTCACTGTTCCGCCATCGATTGTAAATGTGGACAATGCTGATCATGTACCACTTAAATGGGAAAAAAAAATTAAACATGTCAACAGGTAATGTTCAGTTTTTATTATATAGAAAGCAATCCTACCGTCCACAATACACTGCAGAACGTGCTCGGAGGAAGTGACCGTCAGCCTCCACCACTTCACTGCCCTCCTCCCATCCCCCCTTTGCCAGATGGCAGATGCGGTTCATAAAGAGTAAACCGTGACTGAGACACAGCTAGAACCTCTTCAGTCTTGGTACCTTTTCATTAAAGCGAGATCCAAAAACTGTAGAAATGCAGCATTTGTGTTCATTCACTTAATAACATCTATTGCAAGTACCCAGATCTAACAAAAACCACCACAGTTCCAGCTCTTCTGGAATTCATGGTATAAGGAAACAGACATACCTTAGGCAAGTAAACAAATAAGGAATTACAAATCATGATGCTTACAGGGAAAAGAGGAGAGTGTCGATGAAAGAGAACCACCTAGATTCTACTTTGGACAGCATGGTCAAGAGAGATGTATCAAAGGAACATTGTCACATTACAGCAAGATTTAGATAGAACTGAAACACACAATTTAGAATTATTAAATACAGGAATAATTACATATTCAAAACTTAATGTGTCAATACCCATTAAGAACAAAAAATAAATTTACATAGACTTCTTATTTTATGGTTACTAAGGTCAACAAAAAGCATTTTTGGTGCTTATTCAGACATGGGATAGTTTAAATTCTGTAATAATTTATGGATCCAAACTTTGGTCTTTTTAAATTGAAGAGTCTAAAGCAAAAAACACAAAAATATTTTCTAATATATGGAAAAATACAAATGAGTTATAGATACTTGAGCAAATATACCTTCAGTGGTTAAGGGGACGGGGGAAATTAGAGTAGTTTTCCTAAAAAAATATATATATATATATAAAATACAGACCTTATTCTCTGGATTACTTAAAAGCACCAATTATTTCTCATATATTTGCAAAGTATAGAGCTTTAATAGGAATTCTCAACCACTAAAATACGTTAAGTCAAGGTGTCCTACATACTTAGAACAAAATTCAACTTTAGTTATTTTGATTTGGAATATAAAAACTGAACAACTAACCCACAGAAAACAGTTAAATGGAATACTTAACATTGTTTTTCAGCTACAAAAAAAAAATGTCAGGTCAAACCATTTAACTCCTTTACGTGTCTTTTTTGTAAGTTGTTTCACTCTAGGTAATCTTTAACAGTAATTTTTTGCAAACTGAGTCCTTAGAGTTACTCATTTAACAGACCATGTTTCTAAATATTACAAATTTATCAAACAGATACCATTAAAAACTGAGCATCAAATAAATTTAAGAAAAATCTCATAGACGTTTACATATAAGAACCAAATTTTATCTACACTGCCTTCATTGAGTTTGGAATTTTTCAACCAGAATGCAACACAAGAGATACAATCTTTACATTTTTTAGTGAAAATTTTAATGACTGGCTTAAAATTTCTAAATAAACCAGATATAATGTCTATAAATACAAAAAATTTTAATGACTGGTTTAAAATTTCTAAATAAACCAGATATAATGTCTATAAATACAAAAAATTTTCTGCTACTGAAAGATATTTTTAGGATAAATACTGTTAGCTGTATTATTATATTTACTGATATACCTAATGTAAAAAAACTGTCGGTCAACAAATATGTATTGAATTCTTGCTACTATGACCAGATAATTTAGTGTCCTGGGCAGGATGAACTTAAAATTCATATGGACATAAATTAAGTTCCCAGGTTATGAGACCTATGACTTCTGGGAAATTATTTAGTCCCTTTGAACTTATTTCCATCTGTAATAAAGGGGGTATAATAATGCCTATTTTTTGGAATGATTGTAAATATTATACATAATGGACAATGTATCAAAACTATGAAGAACAGCTCCTAATATATATTTGGCACCCCTAAGTCAGATTACTATTAATTAAATTTCTATTTATTTTTTAACTACTTTTCATCATGCTAAAAAATTTGTCTGCTAAAATTGACATTATTTTCTCCTCGGAGTTATTCGTTCATTGAAAAATTTACTGAGAACCTACTTCATGCCAAGTACATGCCAGGTTGTGAGTATATAAAGAAAGATAACATACACACCCTCAGGGAGGTTCCAGTAGAAGGAAATAATATGAAAACGACTATAAAACAATGGAGTTCACCAAAAATACACATATGGGAGCAAAAGAAGTAATGACAAATTGAGTGAAGGGAAACAAAAGATAAATGGAAAAGGAAGACTTAACAGAAGAATTCACTGAAATAGCAAAAAAAACTTAAGACTACACTTAAAGGATAATTAGCCCTGACTGGTGCGGCTCAGTGGGCCAGGCACCATCCTGCCCAGCGAAGGCCGCGGTCTGACCCCCGGTCAGGGCACAGGCCCGGGTTGTGGGCCAGGCCCCCGGCGGGAGTGCAGAGGAGAGGCAATCCCATCAACGTGTCTCTTGCACATCGCTGTTCCCCTCCCGCTCTTTCTCCCTCCCTTCCCCTCTCTAAGAATAAATATTTTAAATTAAAGAAGAAAAAAACTTGAAGGATACCAATTGCTAGGCAAACAAAAGGCAATAAAAAACCATTCCATGCAGATATATCTTACTATGGTGCATACAGGAGAGACGCGTGACCAAACATTTCCCATGTTTACGTTTAGAGGGAAAAGGAGACAAAGACCTGAGTGTAAAGAGACCCGCTGGACAACTTTAGTAATCAGCCTTTGTTCTTTGCATAATGTGAAATCACTGAAGAATTTCCTGCAGGAAAGTGAAATGATTGTCTCTGTAGTTTAAGAAAGTAACTGGCAGGAGTGAGAAAGTGGGACAGTTTGGTAAGTATGCATCACGGTAACCCTGAAAACCACTGGAAAGGCTCAGGGAGGAAGGCCGGAGGAGCTAAGCAAAGATAAGCCTTCCTCATTTAAAAGCGAGGGGTGCGGGGCGCGGGGACTCAGCAACAGAACTGGTCTGAAGTGCTGACGAAGAAAGAGAGAGTCTAAGATGGTCTCCAATTTTTCACTTAAATGAGTGCCATTGTAACATAGGATAATGAAAACAGTCAGCCAGTTAGTTAGCCAGATAAACAGGACTGGAGTCACCAAGAAAGAGTTTGTTCGTAGTCATAACTAATACATGACAAAATTAAATAACTGGATACGCGGACGCACTGCTGCGGGACTGGAGGGGCGGGCGCAGAGTCTGCTCCTCCCTTGGGGCATCGGCGCGCACTCCACAGACGACACGCAGGGGCACCTTCCAACCCAGAGAGCCCAGCCTGTGACTTGAGATGCATATTTATTATTTTATGTATGTATATAAAATAAATCTATTTACTCTTTAATTGACTTTACTGGGGTGACAACGGCTAATAAAATTACGCAGGTTTTAGATGTACGATCTACAACACATCCCCTGTGTGCCGCAGAGAGTGTTCATCACGCCAAGGGAAGCCGCCTTCCACCGCCACGCAGCCCTGTCCGTCCCCCACCTCTCCTCGCTCCCTTTACCTCTGACAATCACCACACTGATGTCCGGGTCCCTGACGGTTTTTTGTGTTGGGTTTTTTTTTTTTTTTGCTTTCCCTTCACCTTTTTCACTCAGCTCCCCATCACCTCTGAGATCTGTCAGTCTGTTCCCTATTAATGAGTCTGTTTTTATTTTTGTTAGTTCATTTTGTTCACTAAAATCCACATGAGTGAAATCATATGGTATTTTTCTTTCCCTGACAGGCTCATTTCAGTTAGCATAACGCTCTCCTGGTCCATCCATGCTGTGGCAAAGGGTAAGAGTTCCTTCTTCTTTGTGGCCAAGTAGAATTCCATTGTGTAGATGTACCACAGCTTTTGACCTGATATTTTTGACAAAAGAAAATGGAAGTAAACTTGGAAACTATGTATGCTTAAACAGGTCTGTCTGCATTTAGTTTAAGACCCAAAAGTAGATCTATAAATAAGGATGCCAACAGGAATAACCAAAAAAAGTCCTCTATTAAGAATTCATAAGAAAAATATAGCATACTTATACAAATATCAATAGTAGCTAACATGTACTGAACACTTACTACATATCAGGGAATATGCTAATGGTTTAAATGCATTGTCACAGGCCTAACATTTGGTAAATGGAATAGCTGGGAAGGCAATATTCAATAGTTGTAATATAAAGGTTTCTTTAATGAAAGGCTAAACTTCTTATTAGAATAACGACAAAGTGCATCTTCTGGAAAAGTAAAGAAAGGAAAAAAATAAGAGAATAAATTTATCTTGAGCAATGCAAAAGTTTAATCAAATACTTATGATTTCCAAGGTTTGTAAGAATCCTTGCTGCAGGCATTTTAAAACCCAAATCGCTCCCAGTTCTGCTCCTACCAAGACTTCTCCAAATACACAGAGCGTATAAAAAGGTGTGAAGATGAGAGAGAACAAATGGGTTAAGTTCCTCTGAGTTAATGACAATGTTATTTGGTTCTTAAATTCACTCTAACATTTTTTATTTATACTCTTTAAGGCACTGCTGCCTAAGTTCATCTGATAATAAAAATCACTCACGGTATTTGTTTGAAACACAGAACCCTAACGTGAAAACTGTAATTCTAAAAATCTATACTTCAAACAAGCTCCCACTGAAATTCGAAACAGCCTGGAGCCCTCCACAAATGCTGTCTGGGTCCCCTCCCGGAGCTGATGAGCCGGCGTTTCTGGAGGAGCAGCGAGGAGGTTCCATAAAAACACCTGGGATTCGTGTCAAGAAAAAATAACCCCTGTGCTAATGTAATGTATACATTTATTTAGAATCACTGCTTTTTAAGTTGTTTTCCATGTATATAGTAATAAATGACTTCTAATTGGTATTCTTTAATAGAAACAAGTATTATTACTCCCTTAAACCTAAAGGAAGACTCATTTAAACCCCATCCGAAATAATATTTTCTTTAGTAGGTGGCAAAACAGACATGGGACCATACACGAACAAGAAAACAAACAGACTATAAGCAAGAAAAGAGGAAGAAACGCAGACGTCCTTCCGCCCCACGTGGGCTCCTCAGACATCGCACAGCCCCTCCCGTGGAGGACCCTTCCCGCAGGCGAGATGTAGAGGCCGCTGGCCGCACGGTGGGCCAGGGTCTCCCGAAGCTCATCTCACCGCCCTGCCCCCGAGGCTGACACGGGGGCTGGGGGAGGGACCAGGCCTTACACGCAGGGGAATGGGAACTCCTACCCTTCTCTCCCTTGGTTCTCTGGATTCTGGACTCTCACAAGGTTGGTTGCTGACACAGAGTCTAGCAAACAGACAGAAACATTTCTCTTTAAAACCCCAGCTGAGGATGAGACTATTCTATCTTATAAGTCTAATTATAAGTTGCACATTTCTCTGCATTTCCTCTTGCTACTTTAGAGAAAACTTTTAAAACATGTTTCTACCTGGTCTCTGAATAATCATATTCTAGTGGACATTAAACAAAGGTGTATTTTTCATGACCAAAATATTAACAGTAGAGAAACATCTCTCCCCTTAAAGCCACTGTTATTAGCAAAGCAGAAAGTAGTGAAACCGTCTTCCATCTCAGGAAACAAGGGTCAGGACTACTGGGATTAGCTCAATCTCCCTCAAGAGAAGTCTCTCTGTTTCCAAATCTGGAAGTTTAACTTCTTACAAAGAAGCTAATTATCTATGAATCCACAGTGCACAATATACACAAGCATACACGCAAGTACGAATCTTTGGTCTAACAACCTACTGTACCTCCTAAACCAAACACGCTGAGAAGGAAGGGGGTGGGGTCCGTCTGTCCCCGGCCACAGCCCCACAGAGCCTACAGGGTCTGGTAGTCAGTGACTGCTCAGCAGGGCAGCCCCTCATCCAAGAGGGGTACAGTCCAAGACCGCAGTAAATGCCTGGGGCCTCGCATTCAACGCAACCCTATCCACACTATGTTTTGTCCTATCTGTGGTTTTTCCAATACACATGTACCCTGTGACAAAGTTTAATTATAAATGAGACACAGCCAGAGATTAACAACAGTGACGCACTATCCAACAGAACAAAGACAACAGTACAGGCTAGTAAGAGGTGTGTGGATGCAGCCCGTCTGGTGACCGATCGGGTCACCAGGCGGCCGCGAGGGGCTGCGGGGGATGACCGCTCACTCGGCCGACCCCACGCACCAGCACGAGGGCACGCGGTCCGATCGCACCGTGCAGGAGGGCGCCCAGCTCGGAGCTGATGAATCGTTTACATCCAGGGTCCTCCATGTAATACTCTCAGACCACAGGTACCGGACGGCAGGGAGCGGAAACAATGGAGAGCGAAACTGCAGCAAAGGGGAAACTACTGCAGGAATCCTCTGAAAGAGAGAGGACGGGAGCGAGAGAGAGGCTGCACGAGGTCGGAACCTGGCTGTTGCACGTCGCAAGTTAGACGTGGAAGTACCAAGAGGTCGTAGACAAGGGTCAGAGGGAAGACTTAGGAGCCGTGAGAAAGCCAGTGACGGAGAAGGTCACAGAGGCTGCAACAGGTGAGCGTGGAGACGGCAGGACCGGCGCATCGCGCCGCTGTCAGCAGCAGTGTTCACGTGAACCTACCTTGCGCGGCTGGAAGTCGTACTTCACACAGTGCTGAAAGCCTTTTCCTTTGGACTTCAGCGAGGTGACTATCAGGCAGTTCCCAACGAAATGAGCAGAGTAGCCGACTCCTTTGCTGGTACGGAAACTACGGGGAGACGGAGAGTAGTGGAATATCCTCTGGTACAAACAACTACGTATCTAAGGGCTACTACACAAGTGACATAAAACATTATGAAAAATAAGACTTACTTCCCTACAGAGGCATTACATGTACCCAATAAAGACTAAACATAAAAGGTTTCGGGGGAAAAAAGAAAGAATTTAAGTTGGATGTTGCTTTTTCTTCTGTGGCCAGGAGCCAGCCTCCTCACCAAAAACCCATGGCTGCCCTGACTGGCAACTGAAATTTAAAATTTCAATTTAACATATCACAAATACATAAAAACAAGTCAAGGGCCCACCAAAAGCCTATTAAGTCGATTACATTTCTTTTAAGGACTATCTGGAACTAGCAAACATCAAAATCATTTATACAGTTACTGTTTTCAAAAACTTGTTCCCTAATTCTACTGTATCTCTGAAAATAACTTAAAAACTTAAAAAACCTGTCAGAGCCAATTTTGAAAAATAATGCAGGTAATCAAGCAAAAGAACATTTTTAGTTTTAGTAAAAAAAGTTATGTGACTATGAAATATAGTTATTTTCTTCTAGAGAAGCATTCTTCCTAGCTGTGAATTCAACCCCAATGTAAAAAAAATAAAAATAAAAAAGGTATATATGTTTTGAAAAATGATAGTATTATTGAAATAGTAAATGTATGCTTTCCCAAAATGACCATCTTGAAAGTTCACCTCCCTCTGTTTGGAAGTTGAGGTGTTTGTTTAAAATTTTGTAATAGAGCTTACAACCTATTAGTAGAGAACATTTTCATGCATTTCAGAGCCACTCATTGTAGAAAAAGTACTTTACATATTATTCTTTCATCAAAACCCACGCGATGGGTACCACCGCGGTCTCCATTTCACAGCCGAAGACGCCAAAGCCCAGGAGAGACAGGGAGCGGGAAGGCAGCCCTCGGCTCCGGCGTCCCATCTCGGAGCACGGGCGGGGGGTCGGGGGGGGTGGTCAGGCGAGGAGCCCCGCGGGAGCTGCCCCCACCCCCTCCGCCTGCGAGGCGCCCGGGCGCCCGCGCGGGGCTAGCGGCACGGCAGCCGGTGGACGAGAACCGCCACGCTCTCGGCCCTTGCAGGCCGCGCCACCGCCCGCTGCTAACGCCCACCGCGCGCAGCGAGAGCGGAGACCGGGCGGCCCTCGCTAGGCCAGACCCTGACCCGACGGCCGGCAGCGCAGAGGAGGTAGGTCCGCGCCCCGACTCGGAAGCTGCGTGACTGCAGCAAGGGCGGTGAGGCGACAGCAGTCAATCCATGTAACGGACTTCGCCGTGCGTTTATAAACTTAACGTGCATTTTTAACATGTATTGATATGTTACATTTAATTTAATGTTTCGAGACTGTGCTAAATACTCACAAAATAGAAATACTTAAGACAAAAGTACTAAAATGAAATATATTACTTACCAATAAAGATAAGGCTTATCCTTATCAACATTAATGTTATTTAATGGATCCATACGAAACCAAGTGTTCAGGGTGAAGCCGTTCTGATAAGGCCACTTTGCGATGGGAGGCAATGCGATTGCCTACAAGGCAACAAAAAAAGATACAAAAGTATCAGTTAAAGAAAGTGACAGGAACAAGGATATGAATTTTAGAGAAGAAAATGGTGAAGGTGTAAATATCAGAAAATCATGGCAGATATAAAAATAGAAACTAAGATCGTTTGGAAAAATCTCTGCGCATCGCCTGCTGCTCAGAGAAGCACCGCCCGCCCGCCCGCCCAGCCGCGGGGCTTCGGCCCGGCCGCGCCCGCTCTGCGCTCTCCGGTCTCCACCGCGGGCTGGCTCTTCGGAAACAGTTCATTTGATTAGAAGAGGCTGAATCTTTAAATCCAAAGACAGCTGTGTGAGGAACGTTAATGGGATCAATACTGAAAGAATTTAAGTGTTAAGAGTTAGTGCTCATAATAGTGAGACAAAGGAGGGGAAAGCCTGAGATCTGTTATTAAGAAACTTAACCAATGAAATTTATGACCAAAACGGATTCAGATCCACTCACTAAGTAGAAAAGGAAAAATATAGTATTCAGATGATAACAGCAATAAAAAAAAATCTAGCCATTCTGAGGAAAAAATGAGAAAGTGACTAATTATTGGAGTTGATGTCAACAAACATCTGAGTGGATTTATCTATCTTCCTATGCGATATCGAAACTCCTACACGTAAGCTATCTATCCGTCAGGGGTTTGGAACTCATCTGCTCCCCCAAACAGATCCTTCCTATCGCTGAAAGGGGAACGACCTTTGTCAAGGACGAGAGAGTCTCGATGGTAAATTAAACGCTCTGCAGACAGAGAAAGCGGCAACTTCTTCAGGTGACGTGAGACTCTCCAAACACCGCAAGGCTCCAGCAAACCCTTCCGATCTTACTCCCTCCTGCTACCGCGCCCCACGCTCCGGAGTGTGACCTGAATGGGACAGCCGCCCCCCTTTCTGCGACAACTCCTCTGCTGTACTCGCAGCGCCCGCGCCCCCGAGCCCGCGCCCCGCAGCAGCGCCACCGCCGCTGACACCCGGGTCTGGCGGCCTCTCTGGGACTCGACCCGCCGGGTGCCCGCCCCGCCCGCGGCGCCGCGTCTGAATCCGGAGCCGGGTCACTCAGGGCTGCGGCCTCTGCCTACCCGTTCCGGTTCCCAAGAGGAAGGAACAGGATTCGAACCGCGAGCCCGCGACAGAAGACACAGAAAACATTCGTTCTGGGGTCAATGGGACAGCCGCAGAGTGGCAGCGATTTTTACGTCCTTGTTTTAAAAATAAAAATGAACCAGAAGCACGCGAACACATACGTAGGTACACAATCTCAAATAAAGAATCAAACCCTAACACTAAATAAAAATTTCCCATGTAATGTCTTTTCAGATTTTAATGTTTAAGGAATCAATTCAGGAAGTTTAATCAACACAGCTTTTCTTAACTTTTTAAAATGAAAACTTATTTCCTTTAGTAGTTTTTTGTTTGCTAGTAAAACGCACTTTTTGCTGAGTTTACCACCAGCGGTTAACACCTCCAAAGGCTCCGCACCCCGCGTACTACAGCGGCTTCCGAGCGCCGGGCACACGGGGGACCCACGGACAGCGGACCCGGAAGAGGGAAGGGAGCCCCGCAGGGCACAGCCGCGCCAACGCGGGCCGCGCGGAGGGCAGGTGAGGCCTCGCCAGGACCGGCGGCCCCGCAGCAGGGCGCTCCCAGCGCTGCCCGCGGCCCCGCCCTCTCCCATCCCCAGGCGCCCACCACCCGGCGACCTCCCTGCCCAGGCCCGCCGAGCGCCTCCCGCGCAGCAGGACCCCAGGCGGCTGGCCCTGCCTCGGCGCTCACGCGCGCTCTGCCAGGGCGCACGAAGGATCGGAGGCAGCGCCCCCGGCGCCAGACCGACCCTCCGTCCACAGGAAGGCCCTGGTCCACCGGACGGCTGGCCGTTCTTCTGCGGCGGGACCCAGCGGGCCGAGGTCACACACAGCTGCGAACAGCGAGCTGGCCCGCAGCAGCAGCAGAAAAACCTTGCCAAAGGGGCGCCTAAGCTTGGGCGACAGGGCCACCGCGACAGCCTTCGGTCTTGCCACGGCGGGTAGCAAACACCTGACAGGCTCTAGCAGAGCATTTCCGCCCGTTTCACCGTGGATTCCAGTAATTCCAGGGGTAAAAAGGTCTTTATTTTGGCCAGTGTCTTCAACAAGATTATGAGACAGTCTCTTACAGGCCTAGCAGCCAGATTAATGTCTCAGGGACCTGAACTCCGGCGCTTCTGAGCGGCCCGTGTGACCCTCCTGCGCCCGGGCGCGGCCTCCCGGGGCGGGCGCACCCCTCGCCTAGGCCCGCCCCTGCCCACCCGCGCGGTCGCTGCCCACGGCTGCCTCCCAGCTCCTGGCACTTCCTCTCCGCCCGTGGAGTTAGCCGCCCGCTCTTCCAACTGCCCTTGTGATTTTGGGCGTAAGCTACCTTTACAGCGCCTCCATGTCTCCTCCTACCACGGTCTGGTTCCCCCAACTGGGTGTCCATCCCTGTGCCCCACGAATCCATCAGACCCCAAACCTACGTCCCTCACTGTTTCTTGGTCTAGGAGGCTCTCAAATCTATGTTCTTATCCACAGCAACTGGAAACAGAAATAATTTTGATGTTCACATGGGGTGCTTCCATGTAAACTGTTTCAGTTAATAAGATGTAGGGTATTTCCTACATTAGGCGGATTTATGAAATGGATCATAATCGTGACCAGCACACCGAAGTAACACTCCTGCCAGTCGCGGAGCACACACTGCATTCACCTTTACACGGAACCGCTGCAGACCGCAATCAGCCTCTGGAGAGAAGGAGCGGGTGGTACCGCCCCGCTCACCCGGAGGCAGCGCAGCCCGCGGAGAGGCCTGGCCGCAGCGCGGCACGCAGCGCGGCAGGCTGCGCCCGTCATTCTGGGGAGACAGCAGGCACAGCCGGGCTCCAGTCCCCCGCAGGCACCGCTGGCCGCAGGGGTCCACAGCCTGTGCCCTCCTGTTTCTAGGATGCCTGGTTCACGCTCGTTCAGAGCAGAGTATCGGAAACGCCGTCATGTAAGGATTTTAAAATCAGCTCCTATCTGAATTCTTCAATAGCAGAAGTAACACGTCTGGAAATAAGACAGCCTGTCCTTAAAACAAAGCACTGCACTTTTATTTCAGGCTGTGACTCTGTTTTATAATCTGAAACAAAGTCACATTGTTGAGGCTCAGTTTCCCCTACTGCTGTAACAATGCTGGTATTATTTATATAGTTTGTATGACTCAAAGGAAACAATAGCTGCTAAAAGTTCTAGTTCCTTCTCAGCTTCCTCCTCCACATAGAAGACATTCTTGATCCAAACTACCCTTCATGAAGACGTGTAATGCAGGCAGAAGGGGGATGGTAAACAGTGTGCTCCATCCAATCGGTGAACAAAAACAACAGAAACATACGTAACTAAGAACATATAAATAAAAACATTTCTGTGTATAATGCATTATGCACTGAGAAAAAATATTCATGGGTTTTAGGCATTTCGTGATCAAGGGGCTAAAAACAGAAGGAGTTACAACCTAACTCAGGCAGTTTATTAAAACAGTGTTAAAGCTCAATTTTGTTAATCCATAAATAAGACAGCAACTGGCTTATATTTGTCAAAATGCTTTGCTCTTCTTTCCCATCTTTTAAACTGAGAGATACCAGATATGAGAGCAACAGTAGTTTTAAAAAATTAGAAACGTGTATACACACGTAAATAAACTACTGCATCTGCGCGCACCCTGAGCAGCGCGGGGTGATGACAGCGTTTCCCCCCGAGGCCTCACAGTGTACATTTTGTGTGTTCTTCCCTAACAGTACGACATTTAAAACGATCAACTTCCATCTGGAAAGTGATTTTTAACTTTGCTATTTGTTTCACAATTAGTAGAAACTACAACTTTAAAAAAGGGTTCATAACATAATATTAAGGCAAAAATATAAAATTAAAGGAACAGTTACTCAAATGGGAGACTGCAAGTACCTTTAAGTACTGACAACCAAAGTGTTTAAATGGTGTCTTACGCCATTACAGATTCATAATAACCCTATTCCATAACAAAGTGCTAATATTTTATATGAACATAAGTCTACAAACATTTAAGGGACTAATCCTCCACAGTCAGGAACTACAGGATCCAGAAATCAAAAACAGTTCTTCTAAGCCAATAATTATACATGGTCTCTTCAATGCTATCATGTAGGTAAAATGATTATATCAAACAGATCGAAAAAGCTAGTTATTTGAAAATACCAAAAAATAGATGAACCTACAGCTAGACTGATCAGGAAAAAAAATACAGTATCAGGAATATAAGGTATTACTATACATATTCTACAGACATTAAAAGGACAGTAATGAGATATGATGAACAAATTTATGCCAACATATTGAGCAATGTATATTAACTGGAAAAATTACTAGAAGGACACAAAATACCAAAACTCACTCAAAACAAAATAGAAGACCTCCCTGTGTGTATTATAGAAATTAAATTTGTAGTATAAAGCCTTCTCACAAACAAAACTCCAAGCCCAATGACTTTGATAGTGAATTCTAGCACACATTTAAGAAAAATAGATCAATTCTCATCAACTCTTCAAAGCAGCAAAATAAATACTCCCTAACTCATATTATGAGGAATTACCCTAACACCAAAACCAGATAAAGATATTACAGAAAATACACCCTCAAATTATTTATTAAAATAATTGCAAAATTTCTTAGCAATATATTAACAAATCAAATCTAGTATTATATGAAAAAGTTAATACACAGTGATCAGATTTTATATTTTTATTTTAAAAAATGAACTTACATAGCAATATGAATAGGTAGATAAGACGCTCCAACTACATGGTTATTGAGGAATCCGGGTTCGTTCTTTCTATTTATTTATTATTGAATTCACTTCTTTACTATTGACCTTACTGGGGCGGCACCGGCCAGTCACAGTGTACGGTTCACGTGCACCCCTTTGTAACGCACCGTCTGTACGCTGCAGTGTGCGCT